TTCATATAGTCGATCTAAAAACAACAGTGAATTTAATTTTTTACAGTGTCACACTTGTCCATTTAAGACAAACTTGATCTAAAGCAGAGAGAGTGTGTATGTATAATGTTAACAAAGGACCACAAATTACAGCCAATACAGCCACTGTATAATCAACACATTATATCAACAACTTAAGCATATTGCACTCAGGTGAGCTAAAAATATAATCTGTCTAAATCTGTAAACAAAAAGTACCTGCTATCCAGTAAATAGTTCTCTGAAAATAAGGCCGGCTTATGTCACAAACACCGGTGATAAGGCATCATGATATCCATACAGTATGACAATACTCATGTTTACCTTGATCCTTCAGATTGAGATGATTCTCTTAAACGTACTCCTTTTCTGAAATGGACAATTCAAGTTCAAATTTGTAAGAAATCTGTCATGAAAAAAATGAAGTAAAGTTAATTTAATTATCTTATTTCCATCACATACAAATATATTTTCTAAACTTTTTTTTTCTATTTATATAATACCTGTAATAATACTGTGTGAAAACAAACATGATCAATCACCATATTTTAGGGAAAATTTCAAAATTAACTGACTGAATAGTGAACAATGCAGACCATTTTCAGTAAAAGAGATGAAATTGGGGTTAAACAATGAGTAAAGGCATTAGGTGAACCAAGTTATGCCAATTGAGAATTCGGAAAAGATATAAAACTTACCACAAAGTACCCATCTATGCATTGCTTGATCTTTCATTTATTTGGTTCAATATTTCTGTACTTTACTTTCATGAATCCACAATGTTCATGTAACTGGAAAACAAGAAATATCTTTAAATATAGATAATAAGCATATTAAATTCTTGTACAATATAGTAAATGCCACGTAATATTAGAATACTGTCAAAGTCGATCTTATTATTGGTAATAATTTATAAAAGACAAATTTTATTAAAGACAGGATAAACAATCTCAATGTTGTAGGTGAAAATTTTTTAATATACTTTAAGGTTACAAAAATATATTTGTCATATTTTTCACAGCTAAAGTACAAATTTTATCCAACTAAATTATTGATAAAAATCCAGATAAAAATTGTGGCAAAAAAGCCGGACAGACTGCAGTAATTACATACATTTCATCAAATTGCGAAGGTAAAAAATACTGATATTTTGTAAATAGATAAAGACCATTTAATGAGGTAAAGACCATTTAATGATAATTTTCAAATATTCAACATCACAGCAAATAGACAATTCTTTTTTGAAAAGAGATGCCCAAAACAAATATATTTCAAATTATAATTATTGAGACAAAGAAACTTTTTTCCTTCCCTTTTCAATGCCTAAACTATAAACTGTTAATAATTCATGTTTTTATTTCATCTCAAAAAAACTTTGTAGTTAAAACATAGGTCATACACATAAATTGAAAATCAGATGAAATCAGATCCCTTTACCAAGTTTCAGACAATGAGACCCCTTGTTGCTATAATTGTAACAAGTTCATCTGAAATGATTGTATGTTAAAAGGGATCAAATATATTAGTAAGGAGATTCTTGTAATTTTCTTGTACCCGTAGAAGTTACCATACAAGGTAACAGAAAATGTTGTTTTAAAAAATAGTTGACAACACAGGAATCAAAATAATTACCACGAGTATGTTGTTGTGCTCCCGTATAAAAGCTTATACTAAACAAATGACTTCATTCATGAAGAAATAAAGGGATAGTTATAAAAGTATCTTATATAAATTGTATACAATCCATGTCCATTCCTTTTGGATGAAATCTTTGTCATGTCTGTAGTATATGTCACAACCATTGTTTCTCTTCTAATGTCATCAACAACAAAGTCATATACTCCCATGTAAACATCATTGCCCTGGTGTCACTTCCTTCTTTATCAGAGAACTTTCTTCTCAAACTGTGAAAAACAATTTCCTTCTAATGTCAGCAACTTTACATTACTCTTTGTCTATCACTGCTTGAAAATAATCATAAATCACTCTGAATCCAATATCATATCATCTCTCTCAATCCAATATCATAACATCACTCTTAATCCAATGTCATAACTTCACTCTCAATCCAATGTCCCAATATATCTCCCAATCAATGTCCCAACATCACTCTCAATCCAATGTCATAACATCACTCTCAGTCCAATGTAATAACATCTCTCTCATTCAAAATCCCAACATCACTCTAAATCCAATGTCCCAACATCACTCTAAATCCAATATCATTACATCACTCTCAATCCAATATCATAAAACCACTCTCAATCCAATGTCATAACATCACTCTCAATCTAATATCATAACATCACTCTCAATCCAATATCATAACATCACTCTCAATCCAATATCATAACATCACTCTCAATCCAATATCATAACATCACTCTCAATCCAATATCATAACATCACTCTCAATCCAATATCATAACATCACTCAATCTAATGTCATAACATCACTCTCAATCCAATGTCATAACATCACTCTCAATCCAATGTCATAACATCACTCTCAATCCAATATCATAACATCACTCTCAATCCAATGTCATAACATCACTCTCAATCCAATATCATAACATCACTCTCAATCCAATGTCATAACATCACTCTCAATCCAATATCATAAAACCACTCTCAATCCAATGTCATAACATCACTATTAATCCAATATTTAATGATTAAGGTGGTTACAGTTAGTAACCTTCACCATTGACCAGTTGATTTCAACATTGATAGGGATCATCTCATGATCAGCATCAAATATAAGAACTGTAGACCAAAGCATTCAGACAAGCTTTTTAAGGTTAATGTCATAGTGACCTTGACCTTTGTACAACTGACCTCAGAATCAGTAGGGGTAATGTACTAGTCATGATCAATCTCTTTAAAGTGAAACCCGAAGCATTTTCTAGTTATTTGTCAGACAAGCGTTTTAGGTAAAGGTCAGTGACCTTGACCTTTGATCAACTGACTTCAAAATCAGTAGGGTCATGTACAAGTCATGATCAATCTCTTTAAAGTGAAACCCGAAGCATTTTCTAGTTATTTGTCAGACAAGCGTTTTAGGTAAAGGTCAGTGACCTTGACCTTTGACCAACTGACTTCAAAATCAGTAGGGTCATGTACAAGTCATGATCAATCTCTTTAAAGTGAAACCCAAAGCATGCTCTAGTTATTGGTCAGACAAGCATTTTTAGGTTAATGTCAGTGACCTTGACCTTTGACCAACTGACCTCCAAATCAGTATGGGTCATGTACAAGTCATGATCAATCTCTTTAAAGTGAAACCCAAAGCATGCTCTAGTTATTGGTCAGACAAGCATTTTTAGGTTAATGTCAGTGACCTTGACCTTTGACCAACTGACCTCCAAATCAGTATGGGTCATGCACAAGTCATGATCAATCGCCTCACTTAATCTTTAAAGTTTAACCCAAAGCATTGTTTAGTTATTGGTCATACAAGCTTTTAAGATAAATGTCATAGTGACCTTGACCTTTTTCCAACTGACAGGGGTCATCTTCTAGTTACATGATCGATCTTCCCACTTCATCTTTAAAGTGAAACCCTAAGCATTCTTTAGATATTCTACATACAAGTTTTATTTGTGACATCTGACAAATCTCGTCAGATTGTATACACCCACTTATTGGGGGAAGGATTATTCACTTTAATCCTTTCATTTAATATCACAAACATCTATTACCATATAATTGCATTTATCATGTATCTTATTTCTAAAAGCTGTAAGTAAGCTGTGGCGGCATGGCCAAGTGGCTGAAGCGTGGGTCTAGTAATCTAATGATTGCTAGCCGCATGTGTTGAAACCCCGTCAGGGGCAAGTCTTCTCCTTGAGCAAGAATCTTTATACTCGCTGCTCAGTGCTGGTTGGTTCCAGGAACAGAATTCTAAAGTGTGTCTGTCAGCTATAGCTTCCTACATAATCAAATTCAAATAAATTCTGTATAAATCAAACGCTGTATGTAGAAGTGGGTATTAACTCGACTATTCTCAGTGCTTGACAGTAAAAAAAGGAGCATTTATTAAGTAGAAATTACAAAAAAAAAGACTTCAGCATAGTTATGAGTCTTGCATAGTTAATAGGAATTTGAATGCAAAATTTTAACCAAGAATTTTGTAAGTTCACAATGGGAGTATTTCACTTGAAATCCATGCAAGATATACGAGTCTTGACATTCAATTGTATTCTGCAGTCATTAATAAAATTTACAGACCTTGAAAGAAAATATTATAATTTTAGAGCAGTTACTAATAATATAATTATACTAAGTAAAATATCAATGGGTTGCACATCAGTGACAGCCACATTATAATTTATCTACTGCATTTGAAAAAATTGGGTATAAATTTGTTATTCGGGGCTTTATGTTTGCAATTTTGCATTATAATTAGGTTATTATGTATGGCAAGGATGAAGACTTGAAATAAACAGGCCAATACTTGTGAAATGGCAATTAATTTGAAAATTTTACTCAAAACTACCAGATTTTAAGCAAGAGACTATGAATTAGTTTTTGACACATAATACAATATGTAAGGCAAGCTTAATCATCAAAGATTAATTTAGCACCTAAAACTCACTTTTTAAAGATGAAAATTACCATTTTTGACAAGAGTTTTTGCAGTATATACAATAGTTTTCCGACGAGCTCCGTGACAGTTATCACAAGAACTCCATGACAAGTTATCATAAGAAATCCATCCATTGTGTAACACTTCCTCCCCTGTGCTTATATAATGTACATTATTTCAGGCACAAATAGGAACCCGAGTTGAACCACCGACGCTCTGTAAGCTAGCTGGATAGCTTCCTCACATGTAGAATCTGACAAAGCACATGCCACTCAAATCTACAGCAATGAGGCAAGTCAAGGCAAAGTCAACAGCCTAAACCATTTGGCCAGGGACGCCCCTCTCCATACTCTGAATGCACATAAAAACACAATATCAACAACTATTAGTTTGCTATGATATTTGTATATTTTTATTATAAAATATATAATGTATATCATCATTATCAGATTTAATGGCTATCTAGCAAATACACAAACATGTAGCATGGTAGCTCATAAAACTACAAAAAGGTCAAGGTCATAACTTAACTATTTAACATGTTGGTTTCATCATAAGGGTTAATCTTGAATCAAATCCATTAATAAATGATAAAGTTGTCACAATTTAGCTAAATTTCATAATTTTACCCTGACAGTCAAGGTCATAATTAAATAAACGAGTAATGACAGACTGTTTTTTAAGTCTTACATACAGGACAAAATGTTAATCAATTAAACTTGATTTAAAATAAAACCCACATGTAACAAGGTCCTTGAGCTTTATTTGTAAAAACACTAGCACTAGTTTCTCATAAATAAAAAAAATTACAGACTTGACTGAAGTATTAATTACATTACCCCTCACAACCTTTTAAGAAACAGATATGTGAAGAACCAAAAGATAACTTCAATCTCAGCTTCTAGTCTAACAACTCAAAGAAAAAGAAAACAAACAAAAATTAATAGTTACAATATCATGAATATGTAAAATGTCTATCGTAGCTATAAATAACTTCATCAGATGTAGATTGGTAAATAAAAATAAATTACAAGGACTATGAATGTGCAGATACTAACAGGTGAGTTTCCTATCAATTAACCTTTGTAAACTACGTACCAGTGAAAATATAATAGCATAGTAAAAGCCGAAATTTCCCCCCATACGGCAGCCCGAATTTGCCTGCAATGAATATCATTTTTTGCTACTAACTGCCAAAAAATGTTTTATTATATGCCTGTAAGACTTACTGTTAAGCAAGATTGTTTACAAATCGTTCCCGAGTAGGTAAAGGGAGCTACTCAGGGCGTCCCAGCAAGTTTAAAATTCTGCTGTCGATATTTCTTTTATTGTTTTTAAAGAGTTTTATGTTACACCGACACAGTAAAGGTCATATGGCGACGTTCCAGCTTTACTGGTAGAGGAAGACCTCAAGGTGCCCTTCCACGCATTATTTCAGGCACAAATGGGTACCCGAGTAGAACCACCCACGTTCCGTAAGCAAGCTGGATAGCTTCCTCACATGAAAGAATTCAAAGTCCCTGTCTGGATTCGAACCCATAGTGATGAGTGTCGATATTTTAGATCCATATATCAAGAAAAAGAGTGTGTTGCAAGAGTTGCTCCCCTTTTCCACCGGAAAGAAAAACAATGTCGCACAACAGTAAATCTTACAGTGGTAAGTGGTATATTAAAATATGCACTGGATTCTTTTTCGTTTCTCCTCAATTGTGAAGAAATAAAATTCCCCCTCCTTTTGCATTTTCCCCCTTCAAAGGGCCTCAACCCCCTTCCCCCAAAAGAAGGGGGGAAAAACACTGTAAACTCAAAGAATACATCAATAAATGTTCACAAATTAAATGAATGTTTGTTACATGCATGTCAATTAATTGTTTTAACATGATTTAATCATAATTATGTATGAACTTTAATTCACATTACTCCAGATGAATATACATGTATGCATATTGTACACATTACATACATATATAAATGTTATGAATGCTCAATAGAACAGTTAACTAGTGCAAATTGTCATTATTATGTGATTATTTATTAAATATATCATTTTATATGAAATAAAAAAGTAAAGTTTAAAATGAACTTATTTTGTTGTCATTAATAACTTATTTAATTCTGGTTCTTAGAATATCATAAACATAGAAAAAAGAAAACAGAAGACCATTTACAAAGATATTGTTATAATAAAAGATGACTGTATATAAAATCTCTGATAACAGGGACCATCTGAAAACCAGACTTTTGGCCTTGTCCAGACAGGGTCCTGTTTTCAGAGTTTTTACTGTACCAGTGAAAATATATTAAGTGTAAAGTACCAGTGAAAATATAAGAGCAAAAATAGGAAACGTTATCACATCTATTCTTAGAATTATACCATTAAATAACTAACTATTGGAATGAAATCATTCAACTGGCATGCAAACACTATAGCCTTATAACATTGCTGTTTTATGATAGTAAATGACACATTTCAGCATACTATCTCTGTAACGATGATTCTATATATAAAATGTATAATTATATTCTCAAGTCAACATGTCAGTAATCTAGAAACTGCTACAATTAAGTCTAATCATCAATAATCACAAAGTTATCAAGTTTTGGTAACGATGGTGTTTTACTGAACTTGGACAGTTTACTTTGACTAGAGCTTTTCTTGACCGTCGGCTTTTTAAAAGGGTTTCCAATAGGGTTTATATGCGTAGTATGACCCCCAAGGCCGTCAAAACCCTTCTGTATAATGCTACGTTGATTGTTACTGCGCTCGCCAAGTTCACGTTTCTTAAATATATTCATGGAAGCTAATGTTGTTATAGAATTAGAACCTTTGATAGCACTTTCACTTTTGAAACGTTTCAACTTTTGAGCATTTTTCTCCGCTGCAGACGTTATTTTGAGGTATTTTGTTTGTTCCTGGTTTTCTGTGTCTTCACTATCACGCGATCTTTTCTGGGATTTCCCAAATGATCTGTCAGACAAAGCAGTATCACAAGAAGTACTGGGCTTCTCCGAATGCTCAGCTTGTGTATTTTGAATAGGTGATGTGAACAAGTCTGGTGTCAAGTCCAAGTCAATATTCTGGCTACCCTCCGGGTGTTCTAATTTTGGTGTTGATGCAGAAAATGCCTGCAGTTTCATACTCTCGTCCAATAAATTTGTAAAACTTGAACTCCCTGGATTAGAACTAGGACTTATTGCTGATTTAAGTCTATCTCGTAACTTCCTGTTTTTGTTTTTTAACATTTCAACCTCTTTTTCGGAGAGTTTAAGATCACCTTCTGAGCGTTCCAACTGCTCCTGAAATATTGCACATTGTTTAGTTAGATCATTAATTTTCTTATTTTTCGACATATCCGTCTGTTGAATTTTCTCGTAATGTTCCTTCATTTGACGTTTTTCTAATTTTAGCTTCTCATATTCACGCTTCATAAATGCCACTTGCCTTGACAAATGTTGGACGGCACTCCCACCTTCCCCGGCACTGGAAATGATGTCAGCTGCGTCAGATTCAGCACCTTAAATAATGAGAACACATTCTATTTTGTCTTTTATTTGTCAAATTATAACCATAACAACAGTATTTTCTTACAGCTTTATTGTTAGCATAAATCTAAGACTTAATTTAAAATGGGTTTGTCTACAATTGGCGAATTTTCCATAACTATCTCAAATAATGATAAATTTTAGCAATAGAAATGTATCATTTGAATATTCTTATAAATTATAGCTAGAAAAAAGATTGTTGATAAAAGTTACAAGTCATAAAGTGACCATTTATATGATAAATCATAATATTTTGTTCTAGAACGTTTTATCATTTGCTATATAAATGTAGATAATGTCCATCCATGTATCTCACATTTACCAACAACAGCGCCTAAATAATTACTTTGTGCTTTGTTGCTATGTCTGATGCTAAATACTATCAATATAACTACTAGTATCAAATGTACTATAGACCTTTCATTATAGACCAGTTCACTTTAAGTTTAATACTAATCATATTAATTTGTATTAAATTTCAATCCAAAGACAGTGAGTATTCTATTCATCCACACCAATTCATTAAAAAAAATTTGAGCCATGCCATGACAAAACCAACATAATGGGTTTGCCACCAGCATGGATCCGCGCAGTCTGATCAGGATCCGTGCTGTTTGCTATCAGTTTCTCTACTTGTAATGGAGTTGGTAAGCGAACAGCATGGATCCTGATCAGACTGCATGGATGCGCAGGCTGGTCTGGATCCATGCTGGTCGCAAACGCACTATGTTGGTTTTGTCGTGACGCGGCTCATTTGTTTGCTTTATATGCATCTGGAAGGGCAAGCTTTAGTACAATAATGAATAAAATAATTCTGTACAAGTGACTAAAAGAACAAAGGAATGAAATAATTTTTGATATTGAGATAATGGTTTATAAGCCAGCACAAAGTCAGTGCAGATTGTGGGGGTGGGGTCAGGGTGGGGGTGGTTGTTCAAACACCATACAGATAATTTTGACAATAGTCTTTTTGTATTGACAAAAAAAAAAATCATCTTTTACAACATTTATAATATTTACAATTATATAAAAGATTGCAGGCATGAGAAAATAAGCCATGACGTCATTTACTATTTTTATAAATTGACATATTTCAGTTTGTGTTTTAAAAATATCTATTTCCTGCATTGTTTTTGAAATAAGTAAAATCTTCTGAAATTAGAAATTTGCTTATTATTACTTATTCATATTTCACTTTAACATTTCAAAAGTAATTCACTTTTTTATTCTAAACATCAAAGACAACGCCGACATTTGTTTAATGCTGGACAGATGAAACAAAATGTTTCAAGAAAATCAAACTTGAGAAAAAAGTAGACTATTAGGTTTTTAAGAAAAGTAAAAAGATTCAAGATAAAAGTAATAATTTCTATATAATGAGCAATTTATGACCGATTTTGAAGTTTTTTTTCTCAATATATTTCTATTGCATTATTAACGCAGTAAGAGTTATTTTTGCATATATTTAAACCTCTTTTTGGTAATTAATGTGGGTTGTAAGTGCTGTTTGCAATGTTGAAGTTATTTTTTTTTTTGTTCACTTCACAATTTTTTACTTTTTAATACATTTTTAACATTTTCATTGAAAGCATGAATCTGGAGGCGTGTTGTTTTTAAAAGACCCTTAAGGTCGTTTATCACGCCAGCATTTCAATTTTATGTTTATTATATTTTATGACAATGTAAAAAAAATTATGTCACAATATTTCATTCACACTTTAAAATAGTAGGTTTGAAGCAAAAAGTCAGAGAGACAGTGAGGTGCTCAATGATTATCAGTGTTTCAACCTTAAACAGCAGAAATCATAAAACTTGAGTGCTTAGCCATGTTGACTGACACGACACCATACTGATGACAGATCAAATTTTCTATTCTGATACTGAAACATTTAAATGATCTGTTCCAATTAAATGTAGTCCATTACACAAATTTAACAGATTAAGGGTTCATAAAACAAAAAGGGTCAATTTAGAAATAATTTGAAACTAAACTAAAAGGAACAATTAAGAACTAAAAGGAACAATTAAGAAAAAAAACACACATCATTATTATATGTTGTGAATTTCAAAGTGAATAGCTACACTCAGTGGTTTGTAAGATCTGAAGATACTTTATAACACTATTCAAAAGACAAAATGGGCTATACAATGTATATGCAATTTGCCAAATAATAAGCCAGAAAATTGTCCAGAACTCTTAAGCACAATCCCATTGCCAAATATCTAAAACTGCCATTATAAAGTCAGTTATATGCTTTTGACATATTTGCAAAATATAATAATCTAAGTGTAACAGCATGGTACATGAGCTATCTCCTAACATTGCCAAATATGATAAGACAGATTCAAACCTTACACTCATACAATCATGTTTTAGATTGCCCCATTTTTCCTGATAAATTCGAAGCAATGTATTTCTTTTTACTATTCTAGAAACATTAATTTCATTTCCTACAAGTAAATCATATTTATCACTGAAAGTAGATAGACCTTATGCAAAAACAGATTTAATCAAAAGTCTTTATTTTTCAATAACAAATGTTAACATATATTAAACTTATTAACATCTTGAATATCCGTTTTTAAAACAGTAACGGCAAATAATAAAGCAAAGAATCTTCTTTAAGTGCTTTTCTTTCTGTTTTTTTTTTACCTTCATATTTCCTTCAAATGTTGCAATCACATCTTAATACAGTCAAACTATCAACATGGACAAGACGGTTGGATTTTGTTGGAGGTGGGGGGGAGAAGACCAAGAAGATGATGAAAATAGGGGCATTAGGGTAGTCTTGGAAGTTATACAAGAACAGGACTGGTGAGGAAAATACAATCATTTGTTAATTATGCAAAGCTATCTGTTAATAAGTACATAGATTTGACAGAAAAAGCCAAACCTATATTTACATTTCTTTGACAGTAAATCCAAGCTTCCAGCAACATGGATCTTACAGAATCTCATTTCTTTGACAGTAAATCCAAGCTTCCAACAACATGGATCTTACAGAATCTCATTTCTTTGACAGTAAATCCAAGCTTCCAGCAACATGGATCTTACAGAATCTCATTTCTTTGACAGTAAATCTCTCATTTCTTTGACAGTAAATCCAAGCTTCCAGCAACATGGATCTTTCAGAATCTCATTTCTTTGACAGTAAATCCAAGCTTCCAGCATGTTGGATCTTACAGAATCTCAAACAGAGATCTGCCGAGAATTTGAAAGTACTTGGCCCTGGGCTCATTTGGTCTGAAAATGATGGGCCATTTTGACCAAAGTATGGGCTTTGGGAAAATAAGTAAACATTGACCTAAATGACTGGTAAAAAATTGTAGATAGTAAGTAAGTAAGTAAGTTACGACTTTATTTATGAGGCTTACATATTCGGTTTCCCGATCTTCCATGTGGGCCTCATAATTGAATTTCCTTTGTAATGGAACTTAAATCATATTTTATGACAAGTGGTTCACTTATGATTCAGTTTTTAACAGAGAAGATAACCAACAATTAAACAAAAGGGCCATGATGGCCCTGAGTCGCTCACCAGAAACAACTGCTTTTTAGTGTTGGAAATTATCCATTGTCAACATTTTCTGATATTAAATTTGAGCCAATCTAATTAATATGAGCAAACTTGATAAAAGAACTATCTAATAATGCTACAAAGTTTGGTGATCATCTATTAATTATTTAAGTAGGAAATGATGTTCAAAGGTTTTTCTATTCGTGGCTTTAGTGGCCACTAAAAGGAGCCAATCAAATTAATATGAGCAAATTTGATAAAAGCCTACCTAAGAATCCTACGAATCCCGGACAATCCCCCTCCCGGACGATTCCCCTTCCATATTACTTTCACAACCCGGACATTTCCCCTCCCGTTATTTTAAAGGGCGGACTTTTCCCCTCCCGTTAATTTAGCAGAGCGGACAATTCCCCTCCCATTTTTTAGCAGAGCGGACAATTCCCCTCCCGTTTTTTCACATTGCGTATAAAAAAATCTATAACCATTCTTATTAAAGATGACAGTTTTTACTCTTAACAATAAACTGTTAAAGATCGGAACTTTTAACAATCATTATTTCACAAAAGTGACATTATACCGCCTTTAATCATTGCCGCCGCTGCTTAAGATAAACAAACTGTCAATAAAAAATCTTTAATCATTGCCGCCCTTAATTAAATGTGTCCTTGATTGCAAAACCAATTAAAAATGAAGGAGAATATTCCTACAAATGTGTTCAATCATATAATAAAATCAAAATGATCACTGATATTTTGTGTTAGGACTTCATGTACTGATTCAATATGGTGAATATGATTTTCTAATCATAATGACGATGATGACAGTTCAATTTACTATAACATGTGCATAATATATTCTTTGCAAGAATCTACAGCTTAATTGTTGTTTTTTTTTGTTCTAATCAATTGTTCCTTTATTGTTTTGCCGCTGCAAAAATGTATATACCTTTCAAATAAACAATATTATATAATACTGTATATATATTCAATAGCCACGGGAGGGAAATTGTCCGCTCTGACAACAGCGGGAGGGGAATTGTCCAGGTTGTTAAAAGAACGGAAGGGGAATTGTCCGCCGTAAAAAAATAACGGGAGGGGAAATGTCCGGGTTGTGAAAAAACATTCAAATTTACTGGGAGGGGAATCGTCTGGGAGGGGAATTGTCCGGATACCGAATCCTACAGACACAGTTTGGTGACCATCCATCAATTAGTTTTGTAGAAATAGACATTTAAAGGTACAGTGGAGCCTTGCTAATCCTAACCCTTCTAATCCGGAATCCTTTCTTATCCGAACGAAGTGTCCAATCCTGATTTTATTCGTTCTTTTTTCAATAGTAAAAAACCTTTTGGATCCGGAACCTGTCTACTCCGAATCTCTATGATTTCTTCAATTTTTGTTCTTATTTTCCTCTCAGATCCGAACAGATTTTGCCAAATGTCACACCTACATTCA